CATTTTCAGTGGGTGTTGGGCTCCACCAGCGATGTCCTTCGACACTGATTCTGTTTGTGATTTTTTTTGGTCAGGATCTTAGTGCGCAACCAGGGGAGGAAAATGTCTGTTTTGGGGAAACTGCATCTGTGTTCTTGTGGTTCTGCTGGTTTCATCAGATAGTGACCTCCAGAATCCTCTGTGGCAATTTGAGGTCAAGGTACCCCCATCTTTGAGGCCGTGGTTCTCCGGTGGATTGTTGAGAGTGAGTTACTTCAAGTATCTTGGGAGTCTTTTTCACAAGTGAGGGTAAAATGGAGCGTAAGATAGACAGGTAAGTTGGTGCAGCATCAGCAGTAGTGAAAAGTTGTACCTTAGTGGTGAAGAGAGAGCTAAAGTTGGAAGGCAAAGCTTTTACCCGTTAGTCCCCCACCTGTGGTTATGAGCTTTTGGTAGTGACTTAGAAAATGAGATACAAGCAGCCAAAATGTTTCCTCCATAAGATGGCTGGGCTCCCCCTTAGAGATAGGGTGAGGAGCTCAGCCAACCGGAGGGAGCTCAGAGTGGAGATGCCAAAAGAAGCCAGCTGAGGTGGTTCGGGCATCTGATCAAGATTACTTTGCAAGTTTAAGTTTTCTGGGCACATCCAACTGGTAGGAGAACCCGGGGGAGACCCAGAATACATTGGGGAGATTATATAGCTCCTCTGGTTTGGGAACGCCTCAGGTTCCCCCAAGAGGAGGTAGAAAACATTGTAGGGGAGAGGAATGTCTGGACTACCTTGCTGCTACCGGAACATGTTCCCTGATAAGAAAATAGAAATGGCTTTTGTTAATTGTATCTTGAGGAGATTAAATTAAATGAATGTGAAGACTGAATGGAGTAGTGCAGTAATGACAGTAGGGAACTGAATGGTCTGTCCTGCTGTACAGTACTGCTGTTCCTACCTCCATTACTCCCTTCATTGGCTCTGTTGCTTTCTGTCTCGCACTCTCTCCTCACCCTCTTCTCACACCTCTTAATGGCCATCAAATTCGATTTGCTACCGCTTAACCGTAACCCTCTGTCTTTCTCTCTCTGTCACTCACTGTTTTTCTCCCCCTTTTTCTGTCTCTCTCACTCCCCAAAGGCTTTCAAATTAAATTCACTATTCGGTGGCGGCTCCTCTCTCTCGTTCACTGCGTGTCTCTGCAGGCACCCTGAGCCAATCATAGAAAGGACACAGAGTGGTTTTAACCCATCTTCATTCACTCGCCCTCCCGCCATTCACTCTCCCCCATTTTCAATTTTCACTCTCATTTTAAAGACACTCCCCCTTTCTCTGTGTGTCTTACCCATCACCTCACCTTTACGATCTCTTTACTCTCTCCATGCTATCATTTCTCCCTTTCTCACCCTGTTTATCTTCCCTTTCCATTTTCATTGTGCCTTTACTTAATCTGTAATCCACATGTAAACCCACCACTAAAATGAAAGCTGACATTTGAAGTCAACTGAATCTAATTTGGGTAATTCTGTTTCAGGTTTTATGACATTAGTAATTTATTTTTATGTTTTTCGGATGAATATGCCACTAACAAAATTACAAGTTCAGCCTTTAAGAGGTCAAAATCATGATAGGAATCTGTGTCTTTTACCTTTCCCCCCTCAGCTGTGTGTACCTTATACAGAGAGATGCTGCTGTTTCAAGGTATAATAACAGCCAGAGGCGGCAGATTTTTATCCCAGGTATAATCTTTTGATTATCTTCCTGTGTTTGAGGGTCCAGTGATAAGGAGTTGATGGATATTACCATATATTCATAAGTAATCTCACCTTAGAATGAAACAGCGAGATATCTCCATGTTAAGACCACATCTTCATCATATCCTCATCACCCCTCTGTCTTTCTTTCATCTTTGATCAAGCTTTTTCCCTATCAGAGCAGGCTCTCAAAACCAAAGTACTGTTGAGCTGAAGAGGGCCTCTGTTGCAGCTACCTGCACTCACTGAAACTTTATTATCAGCCTCCTTTGAACTGAAAGTTACTTTACATTTCTTGTGTAGAGATTTTTACCCCTGTTAGCATGGCTCAAGGGATGGCGGTTGACTGTCAGTCTGTCAGGCCATCCCCATTTTGTTCCAGACTGGATGGATTGCTGGTCACCTGATTTGGTCCTCCGGACGATTCCTGCTGATTTGTGAATTTATGACTTTAACACTGCCAGCAGTGAAATATATCAACAAGATGGCTTGGCACCCAGTTTTATACACACATTCATGGTCCCCCAGATAGTGAATTATAATTACTCTGGTGAGCCTGACATTCCTCTAGTGCCACTATGAGGTTGGCACTTGTGGTTTTGAGTGAAATGTCTCAACAACCATTGAATGGATTGCCATTTGTACAGTTTCATCTTTATAACTTTTCATCTAGATCTATCATCAGGTAAAATATTCAATTTTTCCAATACTTTGGTTTATATCAATACTTGCAAAACTTTCCTATTACCCTCAGCTGTATTTTGCATTTAGTGTTCAGCAGTTGGCACCACTGTGCCTAAAGTACAGCCTCACAGAGCTACAAGCATGGCTGTAGACTCTTAGTCTCTTAGAGTTGTTCCAAATGTTTTTACTTTTCACTTAATCTTAGTATAATCAGCTAAGTTACAACAACTAAGCA